CGTAGAATTCTAAGTTAAAATCGGATGATAATTTGGAAAAATCATGTCAAAACTTGAACCCTTGTTGTTTTCAGAACCAGATACTGGCGCACAACACGTCGGCCAGGATAATCTGGTCGAATCAAAGCCTGGTGCTTCAGAGCGTGACCAGGAGTAGCGCCGGGAAGTACGTGTGCGCCGCAACGAATGACCTGAACGAAACTCGAAGCGAGCCTCTTCATTTTCGCGTCAAGTGTGAGTATTTCCTCCCCCTCCCCTCGGCCTGCTTCCCGCTCGCTCGTCACGGAAACCACTTCAAACCGATCCACCTCGGAGCAGCCACTTTATTTTAATCGAGCAGACTTAATCGAGGATTTCTCTCTTCACTCGGTACTCGGTGAACGAAGCCAGCCGCGTTTTCGAGCGTTCTCGACCACTCGCCAGACACTGGTTCGCCAACCGCCGTGTTTTCGCCGTGTTTTATTTAAACCGAGCCAGGCCAAATTTCTCCTCCTATCCCCGTCCCAACTCTGAATATTTCAACCGTACTTAGTTTCAGCTAAATTTTTGATAATCCAATCCATCCCCTGATTTTCGCCCCGGCGAAACCATCGACCGCGCGGTTGGGAAACGCGCGTACGTCGATTTGACGTACGTGAACGTCGAGTTGAAAAGATACGATCTTTCTCTCTCTCTCTCTCAAACGAACAAAAACGCCCCATTTACCCGCTCATTTTCGAAACAGCATTTCATACCCCGATACTTTGAACCTCGAGTTAATCGTAAAAATAGCCAAATCGACGTGGTGGGTATCGATATTTAAACGCCTAAATTAAGGTCCTCGTTAAGGGGAGACAGGCAATCTCCCCGAGAGTTTAGTCCAAGTTGGACCACTCGCCGATTATTATTGCCGATCCTGGCAATGACGTTTGCCTTTATTCATTTCCCTCCAGGAATCTATAGTTTCCTTCGAATTGGAATCGACTTGGATGGAAATTTCGACGATGATTAAATTGTGAATAGCAACGGTTTTGCTCAAAGTATCGCGAGCACACTCGGAACGGAAGTGGTCGATACTCGTTTGACGCGAGTGTTCAACAGTTCGTAAAATTCGCGAGCAATACTCTCGACATTGTGTTTGCAAGAGGTTTGGAACAGTTGGGAAACGAAATCGTCGTCGTGCGGACGATTTGAACGAGGTGAGAGCGTGGTTCTCGCATCAAAGGATCCGTGGATATGATATTCCCCCGTTGTTGCTTGGTCGTGGATAAACTCAAAAAAATCTTGTATACGAGTTAGCACTCTCAGAGAGCTAGATAGTAATATTGGATTAGTTTCGCGAAAAAAGAGGGGGTGGAAAAGGGGAGGAGAGAGAGAAATTACTAAAACTCGCGATTCGATGCAAATCATCCGATAAAGCTGCTTCTTTCATCGGTGAAACTACGGACAAACGTGACGGAAAAGAGGAAACGGACAGGGGTTCAAAGGGCTATTCGGGAGCCTCGGAATGAGCAGTTTTTTTTTTTTTTCCTTTTCCTTTCTTTTGTAAAGTTCTTTGAACGTGGACGCAGTCACAACGTTGGCCGCAATTAAGCGCGAAAGGTATAAAATCAAAGGGCACCGATTCTTGAACCGGGCTCCAATGTTTCCCGGACACGGATGATAATTAAATTTCATTCGCGCTGTTTCAATATATCGGGCGTGGTGACGTCGCCCTCGATAATTCGTTGTCGTCAATCTCGAATTACAAAACGGCTAACGAGGACTGTTTACGACTTCTCGACTACCGTTAATTACAACGAATGTCAACCGATTTCTCCGTCGGTAACAAAAGTTTCCCTCGGTATCGACCGTTTTCATCAAACGAGCGTTTTAATCGACGAATTTCTTTCTTTTCTTTTTTTTTTTAATCGAGAACTCTTTCGCGATATTTATTTCTCCCCGATACAATTTTCCAATTGAATTTTTCTTCGTTCCCACATTATTTCGCAAAGTCTTTTCACGTTCGTTGGTTAAATTTTTTTTCTAAAACGTACGCAAATGTAAAAATATATATATATAGAGAGAGAGAGAGAGGAGAAAGAAGAAACGAGGAAAGATCGTGGTAAAAGGTAATGACAGAAAATATTTATCCCTGTTAAAAAAATGAATGGAAACGAATTAAACGGATAAAGAGCGAGCCTCGTTCATCAGTCGAGATGACCGACCATAACTCATCCAGATAGCGCCTATACGTGATACGCTATCAGTCATGTGTATAGTTCGCGTATTTCGCGTCACATTTTCACTTTTGATATCTTTCTAGCTCCGTTCTAAAACTATCTCTCATATATATATATATATTTCTTAAAGGAGTGGATAGGATAATAATGGACAATTTCGCGTTCTTCTAGCTAGTTGTAAATTTTATCCTAGCAAAATTTCATTTGCGCAAATTTAATTTTTCACGATGCCCCGTTTATTATTTCGGCTACGTTTTTTTTTTACGCTGGCTTGTTATTCCCCAACTGTCGTGCTCTTACTCTTTTACAATCTTTAAGCTGTATTTTTTATTCCTGGAATTCTTTCACCGCCATGCCAGAACTGCATTTTTTATCTTTTCAACTGCTTCCTTCCTTTCTTCCCTTCCTTTTTCCCCCTTTTTTAACGTTCTTGCAGTTCTTTTTCATTATTAGTACATCTTTTCGTTGACACACCTGTGCCATTCTTTATTCCTCATCCAACTATTTCCTCCTTTCCTTCCACGTTCTTGCCGCTTTTATTATTAAAATCTCTTTTGTAAACACCGTTGCGCTATTCTTTGCAACCACGATCCCTCGTTCCTTGAGAAATGGGTTGCTAAAATTTCCTCTCCCGACGAGAATTGTCGTAACGGGTAGGAATTTCCCTCAATTCCAATATTGAAACGAGACAGATTCACTCCTCCATCGCCGATATGAGATACCAGAATAAACTGTCACAAAGGAAAAAAAAACGCCTGCATAGATAACTCTCCCTGAGATTTTACAAAATAGACCACCAGAATTAATCATTTTATTAGAACATCGTGTCCACCGTGTCGAGTAATCAAAAGAATAATTTAATACGAGCTTGCTCGACGTATTAATAATAATCGAGCCCTCTTCGATAATAAAATACTCTCCGACCAATCCCTTCGATCGATATTCAACTTAATCCACGGTTGGAGAAAAACGAAGAGCATGGGAACGAGAGATAGGATTGTCGACGACGCGTCAATCCAAGTTGGCCGATACTATATATAAGTTAGGAAGCTCGCCATATCGCGGCGAAATTGCCCTCCGGCAAGATTGCCCTCCGACTCATAAACGGACTTACCGGTGAAAATCAGCGGAAGTACCCTTTTACTTTCCGCCCACGATTCCCTCCCGCTTTGTGCTCGACGACCGTCTCATCCGTCTCCCCCGAAAACGGTTTTATTTTCTTTCCAATTCCCTCCCTCATCCGTCAATTTCTCTCGTAGAATTGAAAGTCTGTCTCGATAGACTCGTACGAGGGGAAATAACAGTCGTTGTAATTTCGCTCGTCTAATTCCTTTTTACGACCATCGCGTACCGTCAAGTATAAAGGAAAAAGCCTTCCTTCCCCCTTTTTCTTCGATACCTATCTCTCCCGCGAAATGAATGCATCTCAAAGATAAGAATTGGAGGAGCTTTTCGAAACTGGCTCGTCAAGAGGTATTTCAGAAAATTTTCTCTCTCCATCATTTCGAATTCGGTCAAGCCCAAATGGAGGACCATTGCATCCGGAATATGCTCAAAAATTGGAGAATATCGCGCGAATTTCAGATCGAAACTCTCGATAAACTAGTTGAAACGAGAAAAAGAGAGAGAGAGAAGATTGACACAACGGTTAACATATACATATATATATATATATATTTTTCAGTCGCGCCAGTGTGCAAGGAGGACAGGATCGTGGTGGTGGGGGCGTCGAGGGGCGAGTCGTTGAACATCGCGTGCAAAGTGGAGGCCGATCCTCCGGCGCACAATTTCCGATGGAAATTCAACAACAGCGGGGAGACGCTGGAAGTAGCGCAGGGCAGATTCTCGATGGAGACGTCGAGCGGCGTGAGCGTGTTCAGGTACACGCCGACCACAGAGCTGGATTACGGTACTCTGTCGTGCTGGGCGGACAATTCGGTCGGCAGACAAGCGAGACCGTGTCTCTTCCAGCTGATAGCGGCCGGTAAGTATTTACACCACGGGTCTTCGAGCGGTCAGAAACGAGCAAGTTTGCGCTCCTAAACCCCCCCTCCTCCGTGTCACGCAAATAAGACACTTTGTGAAGCAAACGCGACGAACTGGGTGGAAAATATTTCGAGAGCTTCATCCCTCTCTCTCTATATATATATATATATCTATATTTCTCTCGTTTCGAAGAATAAAAAAACATTTGGAATCTCTTGGATAAACGGGCAAATCCCGAATGTTTAGGATCGATCGTGCCGTTTTCATTTGCATGCGACGCGACGCGATGATTCGAAATCGTTCCGAATCGCGAGTAGGCGATCCCCGATACCGAGGTTGAAATTTGTCCGATCCCTGCTTTTTTGTGAATTCCAAGTGTGCAATCGAGTCCAGATGGGAGGGAGGGAAAGAGAGAGAGAGAGAGAGGGGAAAAAAGAATAATGTGCGGGGAAAACAACAAAAAAAAAAAAAAAAAAA